TCCTGCTGTTTTCCAGAATTGAAATGCTCAATAATTCCGCTTAATGAAAACGAGAAAATCTATTAGAGTCAAATCGATCATTGGTGTTCAGATTATTTCGGGATTTTGGAGAGAGACTTGACACCTGTGGAGGTTTATCTTAAAAATAATAGGAGAAGGACGAGTCGGATGTGATAATCAAACAAATTCAAGGGAGAATAATCTGACTAGAGATATTAATCTATTAAAGAGTAATAAATTTAAGGCATAATATAAATCCTAGGTCCTTGCACTGTTAGGTATTTCATTTCAGCCCGTTAAAATATGGCGGGCGTGTCTCTTGATCATTATTTATGACCACACCTCCTCAGTCAAATGAACTAACTGAATTTCAAAAGGCAACACAACCCTCCTTCATATGGACGTATTTCTATCAAACGGAACTATTGGCATTAAGAAGTGAGCCCTGAGACCCACAAGAATATACGTATGACAGGACTCACGTCATAATGCACATAGTTCCGTTTGATAGAAATACGTCTATATGTTTCATTATTGATTGGTTTTTTCCTCACAGAACCGTTTGCGTAAACGTTTTCGTTCTGAAACAACTAGAAAACTATATCTGCTTGGAATTTTGGATGTAAAATATGTTTTGGCGAAGAATCCTCGGACATTGATTCCAATTCAATTCAGATAAATTCTTTACTATTTTTAAAATCTGGAGTAATTACCTAGTTTAAGAAAGTTGTTCAAAGGGCATATTGGAATCCTCACGGCAAGGAGCTCGATGGAAAAAAGAGCTAGTAAAAATATTTACAGGTTTGAGATCAGTGATCTACAAATGAAATTCCGGTAGGCGTTACCCTTATCATGATCATCTATGGGCTCAAAACCGGATATTTAAAAATACAGTGGCATATTCACTCGTCAGACATTCCATATTTTATTTCACAAAAAAGGAAGCTCTTTACTTAGGTACTTTAAATTATTGAAGTTCACTTGTGTTTTTGCGTGTGTGTGTGTGTGTGTGAAGGGGGGGGGGGTGCATTGAAAAAAGATTGAAGAATCAAGTTGCTGTTGCAACTTGCAAGGTTGACGATAAAACAAGGTTATCTTTGCTCCGACCAAAATTAAACTGATAATATAATCAGGATTTTGAAGAGATCACTAAATGCATGTCAAAAAAAGCAGCATATCCTATTTTCAATATGGATGCCTAATACAACTATTGCGAGAGAACAAGTTGAGACATGTGCGAGTGGATCAATAAAATATACCAAAGAAACGGTAAATTCCGCTTTGGCATCGATTTTTTTGTTCCACAACACTTGGATGCTCTTCGAATTGGGATATTGATATTCTAAAAACAGCAGAACAGATGTGCATAGACCGATAAAAATCCACATTCTCCTCGTTATTTAAACCCAAAACGAAGAGGAAAAAAGTACCTGGTTAAAAAAGTCGCGGATTTTTTCTATCAAATTTTAATATACATGGTTCAAAGACTGCTATAAATCAGAACTCAAATAGATTGCATCCTAAACGACGCCAGTAAGCTGAGTGGGCAGTAATGGACGAAGACCGAAGAAGGACCTATGGAATGTGCGTTGGAGTGAATCACGAGAAGTATTGCATTTCTACGTCAGTATTTTACTCGAAGATTGTGTGGTTCTTTTCCATTATATTTTTTCCAGCGATGCGAATGTTATGAAGTTTGGTTCTAAAATGTTTGCATTGCCTAATGCTCACTACCCACAGACTTTAATTAATAGTCAATAAAGGTTGGGATCTATTCTTGCTTGTATCATTTTCCTCTGCTTATGTGTACATAAAAAAAAATACGTAATAACTTGAAAAGGGAAGGTTCATTTGGATTGCATTTGGCAATAAGGAGCCACTATCTCTGGCTCTTCCATAAAATCACCCTTCTACATAGGGAAACCAACGGCATATATGCTGTTTCTAAAATGAGTCAGAAATAGTGGTTCCTTATTGCAAACTGTGGTCCATTTCTGTAAAAATATTCACCAGAACTTGAAGGATTAGAACGTTTTTTGATAACATCACAAGTGCAAGATTTTTGGTGATCCGAACCAATGGGAGCAAACGAGTGGACGGAATACCTCAGGCTGAATTTATCACAGCTTGATCAGATGCGGGTTTGCAACGTAGTTTCCCTCACGAAATAACGTAACTATATCTTAGTGTTGCCAAATTTCCTCTCGCGAAATGCATTTTTACCGGGAGAATCTTGGGCATTTCGAACAGAAAAAGTCGCTAACTTTTCTTCTGACCTCATGCAAAAATCAGAAAAATGTTGAACAAAAATCGCACGGATGTATACACCTGTAAAATATTGATTTGTTTGCGTCAATTTTGCAACCTTGGAATGGAGTTACGCTCCTTCGACCGAGAAACGACAAATTGAGAACGACAGGGAATTCCAAGACTCCAGCGATGGATTTACGATTGAAGATCACATTCAGATTTTTAGGAGTGAGTGGTCCACGCAAATGAGAGAACTGAGCCTCCCAGACTCTCCACGACAACCCGAAGCTCTCAATAACTAGTTTTCGGGATAGCGCAGAGATTATTTCTCAATTATTGACTAACAGCGTTTATAAATTCTGAGTGGCTGCAAAAATGTTCCTTAAACACTTATCTGCTCACCACATTAATGTCAAAAAAAAGAGGACAAACTGGCCATCAAACGCTTCTCAGACGTGCTGTTGCAAGATTTTTCGAAAAATATACTCTCCAGCTTTGACGAACGATCGTCAACGTCATGAATTGTCTTATATCAGTCCGACTGAAAAGGAAAAAATTAATTCCTCCCATTTTAGGTATCATAGTTGAGGCTAGATCAAGCTCACGATTTACTTCAGATAGTAATCTCGTACGTAAGGAGCGATCCCTAAGTACATCAAGCGCATTAAGGCACCATTTGCAGTCAAATAGCACTTAATTAGTGGTCTGGATTTTAATAAAAATGGGAAAACGGACATTATGACTTGATGCGTCTCATATTATTAATCTACGAAACACGGTTTCCCAACAACGCATCGGATTGTATGTCTGACGTCTCGGTAAAATACGAAGTTTCAGGAGTTTACAACGACAGGATATTTGAGAAGCAGATTTGAAAACCGAACACTCGACTCAAAGAAGGAAAAAAAATAAAAGAACAAATGCTAGATTTCCGATTACACAGTCTCAACGAGTTAACCAAGGTTTTGTGAAGGTCTTCACTTAAGTAGGTCTCGGCTTCGCTAATATTACGCATTTTGGCACGTCCTCTTGAAAATGAACGATTATAAGCCTCAAGATTTTTCTCAGCCTGTCTCCTTCTTCATATGCCCTGCTCGACTTCCTCAAATATTGAAATCACTTTTTTGGACCGTCTCTCGTTACTTGGCGGTTACTGAAACAGTTGTCCAGAGACCAACTGAATGGGCCTCAGAAGCCACAAAATTGTATCATCATCAGTGATCCCTATAACATTGTCTTTTCTAACAAGAATCGTAACTTGTGCAACGTTGATTGATGCCATAGACATTGGACGAACTGCACAGAGAAACTTTATAATGATTTGGTGAACGTGACGATCATACTTCGAAGGACTTGCCTTTTTAGAAAGCATTAAGTGCTATCGAAGAATCGCATAAAATTCATCCAAAAAAGCTTCAATGAGAGAGTCTTAAATTCAATCGCGATATATTCCTTCATTAATCAGTAATTGTAAACGCTCGACGTCAAACGGAAATGTGCACATTTTTTTTTATCAGATGATTATTTTTTTATATTTTTTTTTTAAAGGGAGAGGGGGAGTGTACCAATAGACGGGCGCTACGCTTATTTTTCTGGGCTTCCTAAATTATACCTAAAATCTGAGGGAACTGGAAAAACGATCGACTATTTTTTTTTCCTATACCGAATTTTAAAAAAACCTAAATTTTTTATGAATTTCATGTAGAAGTTACTATAAAAAGGCAATGTTTTCAAAAATGTATTATTCCAAAACCGAAGATGGCGGGATGAACCCGAACAAAAGTCATGTTCATATCTTGACTCCTCTCGCGGAAGACGTACCTCCGTAAAGGTAGGGGTACAAAAAGTGAGCAAGAGAGGGGGGGGGGACGAGTGGGAGTAGGAGTTCCCTAATCGACACCACTGCTCCCACCGGCACAAATTTGAAACTCGAACCCAGGTTTTTTCAGAGCATGACTCGGGAAGGGGGAGGGCAGGGAGGATCTACAAACATGATTTTATCAATTTCATGAACAGAAGATTCCAAACAGCAATGATTTCTTCGGGTTTTTTTTCGAGTGGACGATAATTTCCTGATGTTCCTCTGCTTTTTAAAATGTAAGTATCTCGATGTGTGAGGATAATATCCCGTCCACCCCCGCCTACCCTACAATACACCGAGACTCTTGGAATACGTCTGCCTATGATGAGACTAGATTTTTGATCTAATGGGAAAGGGTCAAAAGATCTACAGACGATATAGATGTACATAACTACAGACTTCCTAGTCGCGCAAAGATGGCAGGTGAAAAAACTGGGTGTGATGAGGCTCCCCTCCCCTCATAGTTGAACATGCCTTGCTAAGAATTCTTTGGTAACATTCCCTAACTTTTCAAAGCTAGGTAAGATAACAATACGAGAGAAATTTTGAAAGAGAGCTGCGTTATCAGTTCAACGATTCACCCCTCAACCAGTCCTTGCATTGGGTGACAGCCGGGTTCGGAAAACTATCCCTAATCCTCACCGTGTGAAATTACGTTCTGAATACGAAGTATTTTCGATCGAGCATTAGGAGGGGCAAATACACACCGGTTCTTTTGTCAAATCCCCTTCCTTCCGACCTAAACATCACTATTGTGTTTGCTTCTCAGAACATCCACCTCAGTTTTGATTAGGACTGAAATATGTACGTCGACATTCTACAGTGAATATTGAAACCCGAATCTACTGACAACAATTTTGCACGGAGTGGAGATTTTGCACCGACTCACCTTGTATAGATACTGATCGAACATGCGACATACATCCATGTCATTTCCCATGCAGTAAGTAGCTTCCATGATTAGTAGTCAATCCACAAGTTTGGCGCCGAAATAAAACACCAAAAAAACACAATCTCGAGTGTTTGTCGCGAACTCAAGGAAGCACAACACCAGTTAACTTTGAAACTTATTCGAGGGCGACGAATCAACGTTGGATTTTGAAAATAACTTCAAAACTTTCAAGTTTACGAACAAACTAGTTAGGTCAACAGGAATAGCGACGAGCTGTAAAAACTGAAGTGAGCACCGTGACCACCCGACGCGTACATTTTTAAACAAAATCCTCAGTTAATGCAAACACGCACTGATTTGGGGAACCGAAAAAACTAAGCGACGATTCGACTGTACGAATGGATTTTGAATTTTACGAGGGAAGATCGCACGCACACGAGGGGAAACGAGCGAGAAATCAGAGTGGAAGAGGACAAAACACTGGGGAAAACAGCCAGAACGAAGCCGAGGGTTAATATCCAAGAAATAACCAAACTCCAAACAAGAGAGGAGTAAAAACAACACTTGAATTTGATTCAACAAAACGTAAAATTACAAGCACGTATCCTATCTGCGAACAGTAACCTTAAAATGATATAACACTCCACGACAACATGAGCACGGTGTGCTTCCCCTCCAGTTTGAAGTTTCTCCTCCGCTGCCACGCTGCCCCCACCGCTGCGCACAACATGATAAAAATCGTCCATTCCAGAGTCGATATTAACATTCTTAATATGAAAGCATTAACCAACAACTCATGGCCCCTCGCCCTCGTTTCGCTCCGTGCGCCCGGGATTTTATTTATTCAATCAAATAGCATCCTCCATTTAAAGTTACATCAATGTCCTATTCTCTTGCTATTTTAATTATTATTTATTTAATGTTCCTCCTTCCTCTCTCTCCGATTCCTCCCGCTCTGTCCTCTCTCTTTTTAAATGTCCGTAATTAGTAGTCTTGCTTCATGCATTATCCCAAATAACACATTTTCTACACTTTCCTCTTTTTTTTTAAAATTCGATCGGTAAAGTTGAAAAATTCCTACCTCCACTTGGGATGTTGCAAATTTTCGCTCATGTCCTATTATCTTTAGAAAAGAACCAACTACCCCTACTTGCGTATCTAATATTCGTCACAAAAAGTATTTACAAGTTTTATGATTATTAAAAGTCAAATCTCATCAAAAGAGAATGATTAAAATTTTACGTAAAAGAAAACTCTTTCCGGGTAAAAAAAAATTTACGAGAGATACAATTCAATAAATTGTTGTTAAAACAGATTTTAAGATTCATCGTAGTAATGTAACTCATAAACTGCTCAAACGTGGTGTTAAAATAAGTTAATATATAAGAAATATACACAAAAAGCTATAATCAATTACATAATAATATATATATTCATCTTATATATAAAAATCTTGTTAAATATATAAGTAGATAAAAAAAAAATTACTGACGTTTTTTAGAAGCGTTTTCCGTAAATCGCACCAGACGCAAATTGGACTTGAAAAATATTGAAGAAGAGTATTCTTTTTTGTAAATTTTAACAGTTTTTCCGGGTGTTTTTAGTAAGTGGTTCTCCATGGTCCCTGCCACTATGGCAATAGTTTTATTTGCGTTAGCTTTTTTTTTTAAATTATTCACTTAGTGGTCAATTACGATGTGATTGTACTCGAAAATGAACTTCAGAACAAAAATATCAATTACACTACAATTTGCAATTGGGAACTCTTATTTTAACTCAACCTTAAAGCACCTATCTGCATGAGGCGAGAATAAAACTGGAGAGGGTAGAGAAAGGACGGGGAAAGGAAGAAAAAGGAGATAAAGAAGAATGAAAAATCAAAGCCATGAAAGAGAGAGGAGAGGAGAAATAACAGGAAGACATGCTTCACGTCATCGCGCCTTCAATTTTTCGGATGCAGCACGGACGTCCATCAAGTACGAATAGTTGTACCTCTGCGCCGTCGTAAACGCGCATCCTTTCCCTCGCTTTATTTCTATATTGTGTTTGTTTCCGTTCGTCTTATTCCTAATTGTGCCTCAAGCACTACGTGAGTAACACAACCGAAGGTAGGAGAGATGTGTTCGGACCTCTTCTTTAATTTTTCTGCCGAATCTGAGCGACACCTCATTGACAGCATATAGCAGAACATTAAGAGCTCACGCTACGCGTCATCGCGCCTTCAATTTTTCAGATGCCGCACGGGCGTCCATCGAGTACGAATAGTTGTATCACTGCGCCGTCGTTAACGCTCATCCTTTCCTTCGCTGTATTTCCAAGTCGTGCTCGTTTGCGTGTGTCTTATTCGTAATGGTGCTTCAAACTAGAAGCATAGAGCAGAGCATTGCGAGTTCACGACTCATACGCCATCGCGTCTCACATTTTTCATTTGCAATGTGGACATCCATCTTGCGCGAATAGTTGTATCGCGTTTACACTTTAGATGTCTCTTATTTTTGAATCTCGAGATAAACTAAGATTAAGTTTGCCCGAGATATGGTACGGTATATCCAAATCAATAGTCATTTTGGAAAGGAAGAAATATTTTTAAAGGTCTCTCAAGCGGTCTATAAAGGGTGCGTATGTCTAAAAATCGAACCGACCATCGCTTCTGAGGGAGAGCGAATGAAGGAGTGGTACGATAAAGCGCCTGTATGTCAATAAAAAGGTGAAAATTTCGCAGAAAAGTGTTTTCGCTTCAAAAAGTAGTCCTTGGACCTCTGTTCATCACTGTCATGCGAAAAAGCACCTTTTTTCCCACCTAACTCCCTCTTCTTTTGTTCATTTTAGAAATTTTCCACACATATTCTTGATCGTAATTTTCTTTCTCTTCTTATTTTGCTATCTGTCAGAGCGGCGCGTTTTCAGCGCGCTGAGGAGGCGTATCTGCCAATGCCAGATTGACCTTATGGCCAGTCCGAGCGGGGGGGGGGGGGATTATTACGCCCCTCTACGAGTTTGCCTTCAATATCTCGATAAGCAACGTGAGCGGCTTAGGAGCAGTAATAGTTGCGCGATGCATTTCGGCCACGGTCATTTGGTTTATTCATGTAGCGGCTTAGTACTTCACTCACATTCTTTCCAACTTGTCTCGACCAAGTCGCCTTCAAAATCTCGATAGGCAACTTGAGCGACATTGGAGCAGTATTAGTTGCTCGCATCATTTTGGCCGCGTTCACTCGGTTTAATAATGCTACCTACTTCTCGTTCATTCATTTCGTTTACGTTACCATTTACCTACTTTGATCATTCTAAATCTAAGGACTTATGGGTCCTTTTAGGTTTCCTAGTTACTCATTTTTAGAACTTTGGGGTCGCATCCTAGCCTTCCCAGCCAGTCCGCCCCTGAATATTGGTCGTAATCTATGGTGCGCTAGATACGCGATTAATTGTTGGGGATTATTAAGTAGGTACCCTCTTTCATTTTAGATATGCGTCATCCTATTCCATTCCTTTATCGGTGAATTTCCGAACCTTAACCTACCGGGCAAAAGATTCAAAATCGGTGGATATTATCCTCGTTAGTTTGGTAAATCGAATTAATCTATCACCTCATAGGTCTTGATTATCGAGGACGCTTTTAGACGTAATTCACTTTTATGCACTCTTCACTGTTATTATTATTCTTCCAGTGTCAGAGTGAGATTTCAAAATAACCAGCAGTCTGTTTCTAAACATGAAATACCGAGGAAGTAGAATGACGAATTTTCCACGAATTCATTGCTGTGCTTTCGCGAGGATTTGAGATCGAAAGAAATTCCAATCTTTTAATTCGAAATTCGAACTTGAGATACTTTGAGCTATGATTAAAATTTCTCCTCAAAAGTGTTTCTTATTTGAATAATTCCAAGTGTAATATGTACCGACTTACAATTAGTTTAAGCTCCACTAAACAGTTTTTTTTTAAAGTTCCGCATTCATCTACACACCTCTTTTTATCGTAGAATCATTTAAAATGTTGCTACTATCAACAAGTTCACAGCAGGCTCGGACTGGCCATAAAGCCAATCTACCATTGGAAGATACGCCTCCTTGGTGCGCCGAAAACGCGCCCCTCTGACAGATAGCAAAATATAAGAGTAGAAAAAAAATTACAACCGAGAATTTATGCGGAAAATGCCTTAAGTGAACGGAAGAAGAGAGTTAGGGGTAAAGAAAGGTGCTTTTACGCATGATGTGGTAAACAGAGGTCCAAGAACTACTTTCTGAAGCGTTAACACTTTTCTGTGAATTTTTCACCTTTTTGTTGAAATACAGGCGCTTTATCATCCTCCTCCTCCATTCGCTATCGTAACTCCCCTAGAAGCGATAGTCGGTTTGATTTTTAGACATACGCACCCTTTATGAACCTCTTGAGATACCTTTAAACATATTTTAAAAGTTAAAAAAGAGGCCCGAACACATCTCTCCTACCTTTGGCTGTGTTACTCACGTAGCGCTTGAAGCACCATTACGAATAAGACACACGCAAACGAGCACGACTTGGAAATACAGCGAAGGAAAGGATGAGCGTTAACGACGGCGCAGTGATACAACTATTCGTACTCGATGGACGTCCATGCTGCATCTGAAAAATTGAAGGCGCGATGACGCGTAGCGTGAGCTCTCAATGCTCTGCTGTATGCTGTTAATGAGGTGTCGCTCAGATTCGGGCGAAAAGTTAAAAAAGAGGCCCGAACACATCTCTCCTACCCTCGGCTGTGTTACTCACGTAGCGCTTGAAGCATGATTCCGAATAAGAGAAACGGAAACAAACACACTATGAAAATAGAAGCAGGAAAAGGATGCGCTTTACGACGTTGCAGAGAAACAACTCTTCGTGCTTGGTGGACGGCCGTGCTGTATCTGAAAAATTGAAGGCGCGATGACGCAAGGCTTGAGCTCTCAATGCTCTGCTGCATGCTGTCAATGAGGTGTCGCTCAGATTCGGGGAATAAGTTAAAAAAGAGGCCCGAATACGATTTTTCTGTATTCGACTGTGTTGATACTCGTTCTTTTTTTTCAGGTTCTTGTCTGACTCTTTTTAGGATGAATTTGTAGACCCACGTCCTAAGCCCGTGTAAACCGCAGCACTGGCTCGCTTTTTTGGAAATGACGGTGCTTGGATGCGTGTAGTGGCTTTAATTTTTCATGTTTTCTATAATTCCAGAAGCCTGTCGGTTACTTCAATACGTTCAATTTTGCAATTTTTACTCCGTACGATTAATAAACGTTGAACCTGAAAATAGCGTAAACTTGTGCCGCTTCGCCAAAATTTTCTGAACCCCTTTCCACGCAGGAGATGCCCTACCAGGAAATATCACATTGCGCCCCCTTAACCAGCCAAGGGTCTAAGCCCTCAGATGCAAGCCAGTCCGACCCTGGTTTACAGTTAGAAAATGCCCCACTGGTCGGAATAGAGTGAACAAAAAATTGAACATTTCTAAGGATTATTGCCTTCTTATTTTCATTTTAAATATAGGTATTTCTGATTTTTCTGTTGTTTCTCACTTCCCTTTTCTACTACCAATCAATTTTTATCGTGGTACCTCAATGAATACAGAATTCTCGCAGAATGAGCTGCACGTGTGATCAATGGATTAACTTACTCTACGTTGCAACATGTA